AATGGGCTGTAGGTTTCAGCTGAGTTGACGTTTCCACAGTTGGTGTCTGCCCCCAAACATTTGAGCTTAAGCAGCAACCAGAACTCATGTCCTTGTGGTGGTGGCCTAACCACAATATTCCTGGGTCTGGTCTCCTGAATCTAAAGGAGTGCCTGCACCCCAATAGCAGTCCGAGGAGAAGGTGTCCCCTTGAGGGGATGCTGCTTGCTGAGCTGGAGAAGGACCACCAAGAGCTCAGCTCTGCAGGTCAGGGTCAAGGCACTCACCTGAGCTGCCCGTGTCATCTCAGGCTTTTCTCGTGAGATGAAGTAAAGTAAATAAGTAAGTATTTACTTGGGGGCAGTAGCATTGCTTCAGCCTTCAAACATACTCCCTCAGGTTTGCATACAGCTGAAGAAGCCAAGCCTGGCCTCTTCCAGCGCATGCCTGCGCTTGCAGGAAGGCTATGGGCTGTAACAGCAGCAGTGGGGAAAAGAGACACTGAAAGCTGCTAAACAATTAGAAAGAGATGCAATTAAACTGATTTGTTTTAAAAGTACAAAACTTTTTCTATTGTCGAAGCAAGGCCTGGAGCAAAGCCCCCTTCTTAGAAGTGTATAGGTTGTTGCACTAGGCTTTATTCTGTGCTGCACTGGGCGTTATTCTGTGCTATTTGAGCAGGCTTTTTAAGCACGTTCCTACTTCGGCAACTGCGCAAGCTGCCAAGGCTCTCAGCACTGCAAGCTGCAGCCTCTTGCAAGGGCCAAGCACAGCCAGGTAGCAGGCTTTCCCCACGCGCTCGTAAGCCAGCACGCTGCTCTCTGCCAGCTCCAGCCTGGGGGGAGCCCAGCATACAGTGACCACAGATGAGCTCGGAGACAAGGCAACACCAGTGGGGAGGAAAAGGAAGAGGAGTGGTGAGAACTTACAGCCGCTCTCCGAAAACTAAAGCAGAGAATGGGGAGAGCTCGTAATTATTTTCAATCATTGCTCACCCAGTTGATAGGACAGAAGCAGCCATGTCTGGCATGTTAAGGCTCATATCATGTTCTGGTTTTAATTAAAGGTGCTGTCTTCCTTGCCTCAAAAGGACTTCAACTCCAGTTTCAGACTGCAGATTCCCAGCCAGCTGCGTAAGTACTGTTTTAGTGACACCATGTGGCTTCTGAGGATACTGTTGTAAGCAAGTGGTTTAGACCAGCAACTCTCTGGCCAGAGCCAAGTGAGGAACTTAGCTGAAAACACGTGAGAGACATGTCAGGGATGAAGCACAAGACCTTCGGGCCTCATTCATGGGAGCTGTAATGATAAATGTGTCATTTCCAGATGACAGTCTGCACACCATGTCTGGACCACACACCCTCTGCATCTTTTCTGGTTTAATGGAAGCAGAAGTGATGAAGAGCTCCTAACGCCCATGGCCCAAAGCAGCTGCTGGTGTTTGCTGCTGCTAGTGCCAAAGACACTCACATGCCTAAAGCCTGAACCTGGCCTGGGGTACTGTAAGGCAAGTTTCAAGAAAAAAACATCCACATCCACAAAAAAAAAAAAAAGTACTATCCTGCATTAGAAGTGTAGCTGTCTTCTGTTAGACCTTTTGTTTCACCAGTTTCATCCTTCCACCACTAGAAAGAGAAGGAAGTCTGCTGCTGGTGTGAGCCTGATTCCAGGCTGCAGCACTTTTCATGTAGGATCTTGTGGGATAAACACACACAGGTGTTTTTACAAGCTCAAGGTATGAAATCAGTTACTTAGAACAGCATCTAACCACCACGGTGCACAGGAAGCGTGCCAAAAGCTAGACACTGCCCCAAGGTCCCAAGTAATACAAGAATAAGTACTCCCCCAGCTATAGAGACTTCACAGCAGCACCCTCCTCTCCTAAGTAACAGCTCTCAGAGTGTGCCACAAAGGCAGAAGGTAAAACGTTATTTAGTGGTACTTTGAGAGTCAAGGACTGATTTGATATTTAAAGAACAGTTTGAGTCTCCTTGTTCCACTTTGCCTGCTGGCCCATGTGCATGTGTGTCTGCTCCAGGGAGCCTTGATCTGTGCGAGGGAAAGTTACCTTGTTAGGAACAACCCAAGAAGCACGACTGCTTCGGTACTGCAGGTGTAGCCTCCATGCTTGCAAGTCAGGTGAAAACACTGCTGATTTCTGAGTTGGCTTACTCCGCAATATTGATTCCCAACCCACCCCCCTACACGGGTCTTGTCCTTTGTTTCCCTCTGCCTCTTTGGTGCAGCAGTGACAGCAATAGGACTTTAGAGCAGCTGCCTTTGTTGGTTTTGCCCTTTAAGCGGCTTCTTTTGCCACACTTTTAAGATGCAGAAGGCCTGAAGAGTTAAAGCATTTAGAGCTTGAGTCTTAGCTTATATTTCATTCACTTTTACTTCTCTAGAGTTAGGGAAGTGATAAGGGGGAAAACAAACCCCACTCTAATCTATTTCTAAGTTTCCCACAGAAATTAAGGGTGGTTTGGTTTTAAACAACGGATCTTTTGATGACATTTTTGATGCCTGGAGATTTCTGCAACTTAAGTCAGTTTCAAAAATTACATTTGATAAAAAGTCAGTGGAAGACACTATACAGCTCCACTGAGAAATGAAGCAGAGGTCCAATACGCAGAACAGTGGTACAATCCTTGCTGAATCAGACCAAGTGATCAGACAAGACCGTCAGAACAAGAAGCCGGGGAAATAACACAACTGCAATTATATGCTTAGGAACAAGTGTATTGAGTAGAAACAAGGGGAGGATCGAACAGCATCAGTGGTTTACTAACAAAGCATCGAGTCAAAAGTCATCCTTGCGACTAGCCCTCTGCGCTTTGTAGATATGAACATCCTTATTGGAATCATAGTGGACCTCATATACAGAGAAACGGCCTCTCAGCATCTTCAAGAATTTGTGATCCCGTTCATAGCGGATACGACAGGAAAGAAGAATCACAGTTTGGTCTGAGCACAGGTGCTCCAGCGTCTGAAGCAGTTCAGCAAAAGTTTCTTCCAGATAAACGATGTCTGCACCCAGGATGAAGTCAAATGCTCCTGGAGCGAAGTTACCCAGGTCTTTTCCCCAAGTCAGTTCCTTCACCACAGCTCTCGGACGTAGTTCAGAAGGTAAGTTAGCCTGTACATTTGACTCCAGGAACTCCAGTGCTGCCGCCCTGTCTGTGATGGTAACACGAGCACCTAAGCAGTACAGGAGTATATCTCTCAGACATACAGTCCATGTCCAGACATACAGCATTTGGAATACAATGCTCTAAGTCAAGCAGGCTCCTTAGTTCCTGTTAAACATTAACAACTCCCCTGAGCTGCCTGATTAAAAACAAACAAAGAAAAGAACAAAACAAGCAAAAAGACCACTACCTACATACATCCTACCCTTCCTCAGTCACTTAAGAATATGAAGTGTACTCCACATGAAGATTAAGTTGGGTAGGCAACATAAAGTGTTTTCTGGAGCTTTTTCTTAGTGCATGAAAGTAGAAAAGTCACTTTCTGCCATTCCATAGGTGACAATAGAGTAAGTTACAGGGATTGTTACCATTAACCTGCTCCAGTTCCGTATTTGTTCAGTAGGAGAGAGGTGGCCAGGGAGCCTCTTTCACTGGCCAGACCAAAGTTATGCCTGTGTGATTTTGCATGGCACGACTGTATTTTGTCAAACCCCTTTGTTATTATTATTTCAACTGGCACCTTCCACAGCCACTAGAGCTTTGAATTACAAAGTTAGCCTGGGACAGTTAGCGCAAATTTAACATAGTACCCAGTCCCTGCCTCAGCCACCTAAAGATCACAGGCAGATCACTTCATTTCTCCAGGCCTTGGTTTCCCTGCCTGCAAGGTAGGCTAACAAGGCTTATACAAGCTCAGAGAATGGTTTTCTGCCTGTAGGTTTATCTGTGATGCATATGAGGACAAGTAGAAAACCGCAAGCACGGCGCTCACCCCCTTGGGGGAGAATCGCTGCAGAACTTCATGCCGCCGAGCTGAGTACCATAGTAACAGGCGTCAGCCTTAACGGGGTCCCACCATAAAGTAAACTGCAGTGGCACCATCGCGACAATAAATAACGCAGCAGGCTCTGAAGTCTAACAAGAAAGGAAGATGACTCAGACAGGAAACATCACAGTTCACATACGTAGCTTTGGTGTTAACTTCTATACCAGGCATGTAGATGTAAAAGTGCCAGTTTTACTGCAGCTGTAAATTGCTTTAAACAAACGAAAAAAAAAGGCCCTTACCTAATAATGTGGCCACTATTCCCAGCAATCCAGTTCCAGCTCCCAGCTCAATCACAGACCGATCCCTGAGATCAATGCCTCCCATGTCCAGATAAGCACACAAGACAACCGCCTAAACCAAGAGACAAGGGCAATTAAGCACAAGGGCTCGTTTCAGTCATACTGAACACTGGATTTGTGATTTACAGCAAGAGAGAAGGTTATGGGAAGGGTCAGGCACTTCAGGTCTGCAGCAAGACTTTGTTCAGCCCTTCTCTGCCCCGCTGCGTACATGTGTGGTCTTTTTATGAGTTTTATGGAAGATTCTTACAGGCAAAAGGTAAAGAAGAACCACAGAGGCTACAACTCGGATGTGGCAACACTGCTTCATGAATCCCCAAACATAACAGGAGGCAGAAAAAAGCTCAGGGGTGTCAACCACTGGAGAATGAACACAGTATTGCAAAAGTCCGGGGTAAGGTTTCATATTATCTTGCGTGGTATTTCCAAAGGTCTCTGCCCAACACTGGCATGCCGTCAGGAAGGACATAGGGAAAGTAAAGTAATAACACGTTTTGTGTTTGGAACACCATTTGTGTCTAGCGTGTGTGGCATTTTACGGGAATCTCAAGAAGGAGCGCTCTCCGTAGCAAGCTCTGTCAAGGCCCATGTCAGGAAAGACCAACAGCCCTGTGCACCACTTCATTTGAGGAGTTTGCTAGAACTGCTACACTTCTTCTTTAACATGAAGGTAAAAGTAGAGGTAAAAGCGCAATTTGTGTCTGGGCAGCGCCCCGACCGACCCGGGAAGCCCTCGCACTCCTGCAGCATGACTGCTACCCACTGCCCTGCAGTCTTGGGCCTGCCACAACCCCCCCCCCCTGTTTGGGACGGTTCCTGTCCCCGAGGTAAAGTCTATCAGCAGCCCTCGGCGCTACAGGCAGCAGGATCCGTGCTGTGCTCTGAAGGGCGCTGAGCAAACATCACGGGCCCCTGTTCAGAAACGGGTGAGAGTTCTGGGGGTTTGAGGCGGCACATTTCCCCCGGAGCCCTCCGGGATGTCTCATGCGGGAGAAAAAAAAATGGGGGAAGCCGGAGTTTAATGTTTTCTTTTTCTACAAAAACCCCTCTTATCGACAGAAAGCCCTCCCCTAATTCAGTGTTAAATATTTCTCGTCCGAGGTGGTTCCCGAAGCCAGGGCAAGCGCGTCGCGAAGCCACCGCGGGCAGAAAAGCTT